AATACAGGAAGTCAAAACCTCCTTAGAAAGTATTAAAAGCAGACTAGATCATGCAAAAAAACAAATCTCAGATGTAGAAGACAGGATCGCTGGACTAGTAAAATCCACACAAAGACTGAGAAAATAGCCCACAAAAATAAGAATAATATATGAGAAATACTAGATACCATTAAACATCCAAACATCTGGATAATTGGTATCCCAGAAAGTAAAGAGACTAATAAGGCATTGACAATCTATTCCATAAAATCCTGGAAGAAAACTTCCCAAACCTAGAGAGGCATTCAAAGATCCAGACCCAAGAAATACAAAGGACCCCAAGTAAGATCAACCCAAGAAAATCTTCTCCAAGACACATTACAGTCAGATTGACCAAAACCACAGACAAAAACAAGATACTCGACTGGCAAGAGAGAAACATCATGTTACCTACAGAGGATATTCCATCAGGCTAAAACAGACAATCTCATCAGAAACGATGCAAGCAAGGAAAGAATGGGAAAATATATTCAAAGTGTTGAGTGAAAAACAGTTTCAACCAAGAATACTATATCCGGCAAGATTATCCTGCATATGGGAAGAGAAGACAAGAACAGTCTCAGATAAACAAAACCTTTAAGAATTTACCAGCACCAGACCAGCTCTCCAAGAAGTTCTGAAGGGAGTGCTATCCCAGGAAAACTAAAGTCAGACACACAGAAATAAGAGTTCTAAAATAGCTAAGAAAATGGCCGACTTAATGGGAGGGACAAATACAGAGTTAAATGTTATCTTCTGAATTTAAACGGAGAGATCAGACCAGCAGAAGATAAAGTACAGGAGCTTGAACTGGTGAAAGAGACTTTTATGACTTTTGACTAAAACATTACTGACCTTCTATGCTTTGTTTTCCAGTGTTAAGGAGCTTTGTCTTCTCTCGAGTTGTGGACAGGTCCAGGTAACTATTATTCTAACAAAATCCTAACCTGTTTCCTGGCTTTAGATATTAAGCAAAGTTCACTTAACATTTTTTATTTTGATTTATTAAAGTTAAAACTGCCTTTCTTGAAATTAAAAAGTGTATTTTAAAAATCCCTACTTAGTAACCACAGTAAGCTATATAGCCTCAGCTATGTGCTATTTTATAGTATATTCATTCTATCCAGTTTCATGCCTAAAGTCAACTTTTGCTCACAGATATGTATATAATCAGCTGAAGGAGGATGGAAATGGCAGAGGGTGAGAAATGGGGGGGGGATATATATAAATATAAATATATATATACACATATATAATACAATAATACATATATATAATACAAGAAATAAGAAATAGAAAATTATTTGATGATAACATGTATGTTCAAGCCACTCTACAGTGTATTCTGGCTGGAAAATCGCATTTTGTATGCTGCGATGGTGTCCAGTGAAAGTATGTGAAATAAATATGAAAAAAATCTTTCTTTAACAAAAAAAGACTTATTTAATTCCATTTGTTATTATTATTGTTTTTAAAAATTTGACCAGAGACAGACAGAAAGGGAAAGCGAGAAAGCAAATCACCAAGTCCAGGACTTCAACCGCAGTCAGCCATGTGGAAGTCCAGCACCCTGACCAACTACATCACCTGCCGGCCCCTGGCTTGTTTTTCAAGCTGCTGGGTTTGAGATGTGAACCACATTGTTGGCCTGTGTGGCATCTAAACCACTAGGCCAAGGGCCGGCCCAATCATTATCTTATAAAATGTCCTTACAAGGACCAGCAGATAGCATAATGGTTATGTTGCTGGACTCCCATGTAGTCATCAGAAGTTTGAGTCCTTGACCCAGTGGCTTAAAACTCACACTGGGCACATGTTCATGCATGCCCAAAACCCCAGGAAGATAATGGAGGAAAAGGGATTGTGGCATGGTCATCCCCCTTAGGGGATGATTTCTCTCTTTCTCCGGGCGAGTGCGTTTGCCCTAAAAAAAAAAAAAAAAACTAAAAAAAAAAAAAAAAAAAAAAAAGTCCTTACCAACAATTTATACTTGAGTCAGTTGCCTAGAGGCAATTTTGCTTGTATCACAACTGCAATCAAACCTTGGCATTAGAGCAGCCCATTCATTCATGGCCTGGTGGTTGAAGTGACTGGATCTCACATGGTCAACTGTGTGGTTCAAGACCTGGACACTGTAGCTGGAGAAACACACAGTGGGCAAATATGCGTGCATGCCCAAAATCCCAAAAGGAAGGATAAATGGAGGGGAGAGGGTGGCAGTGTGATCATTCCCCACGGAGGGCGCGTTCTCACTTTCTCCCGCTCTTTCCAGCAAGCACATGCGCCCTCGAGCAAAAGCACTCATAACTAAATTGTCTGTAAACCTTCCTTAACTTTCAATTTTGAACAACTTTTTGAAAAGAATTATATACTTACTTTTATTATTTATTATTTTAAAATTTAACCAGAGAGAGATTAAAAAGGGAAAGTGAGAAAGCAAGCGACCATATCCAGGACTCATACCGCAGTCAGTCATGTGGGAGTCCAGCACCTTAACCACCATACCACCTGCTTGCCCCTTGAACTACTTTTAGACTTATTTTTTAAAAATTGCAAAAATAGTACAGGGAATTTTTTTGGGAGAGATTTTTGCTATAGGGCACATGAGAAATCACCCCTCTCAGGGGGAATGGCCATGCCACAATCCCTTCTCTTTCATTCTCCTCTCGGGATCTTGGGCACGCACACACATGTGCCTGGCGTGAGTTTTAAGCCACCTGGTCCAGGACTTGAACCGTGGTTGACTGCATGGGTTCCAGTAATGTAACCATTGCTGGTCCCAGTATAGGAAATTTCTATATATTCCTCATCCAGCCTCTACACTCCAAAAAGTCTTAACCTACTTAAAGTAAAATGATCAGAAGCAGAGGACTGTCACTGGTAGGATACTACCAACTGAAGGCGACGAATCTCACCGATTTGAAATGTGTTTTGAAGATTCTAAAGTTATTATTAGCTAATTTGTTTAAAGAGTTTGTGTCATGGAAAGAAATTGACACTCCAGACAGGGTGTCATCATGACACAGCACTCCTGCCCCCCAGCCCCCCAGCCCTCCAGGATCAGGGCTTCCATGTGGCACTGGAGATGGTGCCTTACCACCTGCACCATCATACCTACGCCTATAATTAGCTAACTTGAAAAATCATGTACTAAGTGTTTTGTAAGGAGTTTCAGGTCTTTCAGATATGTGCATGCATTTTTTTTATAATAGCTTGCTATAGGGTGCATGTGCTTGCCAGGGAGAGACAAAGAGAGAGAAAGAGAAAGAGAGAAATCTCCCCCCCAGGGGGATGGCCATGTCACAATCCCTTCTCTTCTATTATCCTCTCAGGATTTGGGGCATGCACACACACACACGCCTAGCATGATTTTCAAGCTGCCAGGTCTGGGATTCAAACTGCCAGTCAGTCATTGGAATCCAGCCACCTTAACCTCCATGCCACCTGCTGGCCCAATATATTAATGCATCTTAACAATCACTTTCAGAGGCCAAACCTTGCCACTCTTTTTTTTTTTTTTTTTTGCATTTTTAATACCAGAAGATATGTGTGGGTGAGAGAGAGAGAATCCCCAATTGGGCCTAGCCATGCCACAATCCCTTTTCCTCTAATTCTCCATCCTGTTAGAATCGTGGGCATGCACTTGTGTGCCCACTTTGTTTTTCAAGCCACTAGGCCTGAACTCAAACCCTGGTCAGCCACGTGGAATCTGGCTTTCTTTAACACTTAATGCCCGTGCTATGCGATGAGACCATGCTTTTGTCTAACTTAGCAGGCTCCAACATTTTTCGGTGTGATTAACCCCACTTTTTTCCAAGTAAAATTATTATGAAATATTTTAAGTGCACAAAAATGTGTCACGTAATTTACAAAAAGTCACTTATTAGTAATGTCTGCAACACTTCAAATATCCCTAGCTGTGCTCTACGAAATCAGTGGATGGGAGGGGATTTTTTAACCTCTTTGTCCTTTGTAGTGATTCTGGGTCCCTAGGGTTTGAGGCCCAAAGATTGGGAACCACTGGTAAATCCATAATAAATCAAAATAGTAAGAAATCTCTATGTCAAGGAGAGATTTGGAGTTAGTGCTTTGGGTCGACTTCGCTGAAGTTTAACTGCCTGCCTGATGGGTCATCCCTGAGGCGGGGGCAGTCCCAGGTTACAGGGGACAGAAGTGTCAGGACATGTGGGAAGAAGTCAGGGCATGGGAGCAGAAAAGCCATCTGGGGGTGGTGGGAAGGGCTGGGAGGCAGTAGAGGCCAAGACGAGAGGTACGGACTTCGGGACCAGGCAAAGCTGGGGTCCAGCCCATTGGCCTCACTTGCGATCTGTCAGCTCAGGCAGATTCGGTCTCTGACCCTCAGAGGCTCATTTGCAAAATGGAGGTCATGTGATACCTTCCTCACAGGGCTGTGCCGTAATGCAGAGCATGGCACACACCAAAACTCAGAGCAAAAAGAGAAAGTTGCTGGGAGTGACACCGGTAGCAGCAGCCCCGGCTCCAGCCCGGTGACCAACTGCAGTAACGTAAACCAGAAGAGCCCACGTCCCGGGCTCGGGGGCTGCAGATGCAGCCGTGGGGGGGAGCTAACATGTGCCGCGGTGGGCCTGGGAGACAGCGCAGGGAGAGAAGCTGCAGCGAGCCAGCTCCTCTGCAAGAAAGAGAAGGGGAGAGGGTGGTGAGGACAGTGCTGAGGACAGGTCCCACAGGCTTACCTGTTCTCTTCTGAGAGCCTGTCTCTCCCCCCCTCCCGCCACCCCAGGCAGCTCCCCATTCCCTGTTCCCTGGCAGTGCAGGCTGGTGGTGCTGAGGCCAGATAGCTTTCGCATTCCGGAACCGAGACTGGGGGCGTTCTACGGACTCTCAAATTGGGACTAGTGAGAAGGCTTCAGGCCAAGTCCCCACGCAGAGGACTCCTGGGAGGCAGCCCCCCATCCCTGCCCAGCCTCAGGCTGCCCACAGAGCCCCCAGACTCGCAGGGAGGGATACAAGGCTTTATTGGCTCTGTTCCAGGCGCTCGGCGTCAACGTGGGGCTCTCAGTTGCTCCCGGGATCTGCCTTGTCTGTCTCCTCTCCATGGGCCTTCCGGGCCTCCGGGTCTACCTGGGCTGCTGTGCTGGCACCCGGCTCTCCCTCTGTCAGGGTCTCCCCTCTGGGACAGGCCCTGCTCATGGAGTCCAGGTGCCTGGGACACGTGGAGGGCCTGCGGAGGGACGGGCCATGGAGGCGGCCCAGCCCAGGCCCCAGAGGGTGCCCTTGGGGAGGAAACAGGCCTGTGTGGCCAGCCCTGCTGGGGGAAGGGGATCTCCATCTGTGGTTAGGTGGCTTCAGAGGAGTCACAGAACTAGTGACTGCGGTTGGGCAGGCTGTGGCTCTGGTGGCTCAGGTGACCAGGATGACCTGGGAAGCTTGTGTGACCTGGATGGCCTTGGTAGCTTGCATGGCTTGGACGATTCTGGTAGTTCAGATGGCCTGGGTGACCCTGGTGCCCTTGACTCTGGTGGCCTGGCTGGCCTTGACTCTGAGGGTTTGGGTGGCCTTGACTCTGATGGCTTGCATGACCTGGGTGACCCTGGTGGCTAGGATGGAAAGTGTGGGTGTGGCTGGCGCCTGCGACCGTGCTTTCCTGCTTGGTGAGAAAACTCCCTTTCAGCTTCATCTCCACCTCCTCCAGGGCCTTAAGCTCCTCCGGGCTGATGTCCCTGGACTCCAGGTGGCCCGAGTGCTGGTAGGCCGTAGCCCGCTGCAGCATGGAGTCCGCCAGGTGCCGCCCCTTGGCGTCGATCTCCTTGGTGCAGGCAGCCACGGCGGCCCACGTGGCCTCCTCCGAGGACGAGGCCTTCCCAGACTCCCTGTGGGTCTCCTTGATCACTGAGCACCCGGACATCCTCTGCCGACTGGTGAAGGACTCCCGGTGCAGGGCGGCGCCCTCCTCCCCCTGCCTGGTGCTGAAGGTCTCCACGCGGATGGTGGTGTTGGCCTCGCCGCTCCCGCCCTCGGGCTGCGGGGCACTGCAGCAGGCGCTGGCGGTGTTGGTGCACAGCTTCTCTTCCGACAGGCAGCTGAAGTGCGACTTGATCCAGCTCTCCTTTGTTCTGAGGGCTTCTGGGGACTCATGCTCAGCCGTCGCGAGCTCAGGCGTGATCTTCTGCCTCCTCTTCCTCTGCGCCCACAGCACCAGGCCTCCGCCTCCCAGGAAGAGGGCCGTGCCCAGCACCACCTTGCATGATGGTTGCTGGATGAGCTCCCAGAAGGTCTCCAGGACCCCAGGCCAGGCAGGCAGAGCTAAGGGCACACGGAGTTGGCAGCTCAGGTGGGGTGGTTCATGCTTGAAAGGCAGGCTCCCCGGAGGTGTCTGGCAGGCAGGCCCCCTCTGTGCTCTCCCTGGGAGGCCCCTCCCACCTCAGCAATGAATCCCATTGTGAGGAAGGCAGTGGGGGGCAGGGTGGAGAGAGGTCACAGCGACCATCAGTCTAGGCATTGCCCAAGGCCTCGGTCCTGTCGTCCAGCCTGACAGCTGACCCCAAGTTGGTGGAAGGGCAGTTTCTCCAATCCTGAGTCCTTCCACCTCCTGCTTGTAACCAGCCTGTAACTCAGTCTTCATCTTCCAGACTTGATCTCTGTCCCTCCCGGGTGACAGAGGGAGCTGGGTCAGGCTGGCCATGGCAGGACTGCTTGACTGGGCTAGCATTCACTCCTGGCCACCTGTGACTGCTGGCTCCTCACTCCGGGGCCCATCTCTGAGGCCAGCTCAACATACCCACCCCGCCTGCAGCCATCACCCCATTACAGCAAGTCCAAAAGGACCCAGCAGGGAGCTCATGCTGGAAGAACATGAGGTCACAATGACAAGCCATGGGTGAGAGGCACCATGGACAGGACAGGCGATCTCAGTGGGTCTCAGGTCCCTGGAGCGTCCCAGGAGGCAGCTGTGACCTCTTAGTGATGCGCCTGCAAACCCAGAACTTGCCCCCTGGGAAGAGGGCACAGTCCAAGTTGTGGTAGGGCCGGCTGGCCAAGTGGTCTGTGGGAGCAGGCAACCGCGAACCTACTCCCACCCAGGGCTTCAGAGGGCTGCTCTAGTTTTTTTTTTTTCCTTCCAGAAGCATCTAACACATTTTTAAAATGATGACCTATTCCAAAATAGGGTTGTAAAAATTGTAATATTTGAGACAAAATATTTTCTTTAACAGAGTAATGGTTTTAGGAACTGGCCCAGTGAACCCACATGGCTGACCCTGCAGTTCAAATCCCAGCCCCATGGTTTGAAAAATATGCCCAATATACTGAAAGGATGGAGAAATGGAGGAGCAGGGGTTGCAGTGTGACCATCCCCCACTGGGGGTGCTTTCTCCCTCTGTGTGTGTGTGTGTGTGTGTGTGTGTGTGTGTCCCTGGTGCACATACACACCCTTTGGCAAATTTAAAAAGGCAAAAAGAGTAAGGATTTTCTTTAAAAAAAAATATTTTAAAAAATAATCATTTAACTTTATGTATGTATGTATGTATTTTTAACTTAACCAGGGAGGGACAGAGAGAGAGAGAGACAGAGAGAAAGAGGGAAAGTGAGAAAGCAAGCTCCCAAGTCAGGGACTCATATTGCCGTCGGCCATGTGGGAGTCCAGCATGCTCAACCATCACACCACCTCCTGACCCCGGTAATGGTTTTCATAAGCCCCAAAATCTTACCATAAGAAACCACGGTCCACTCTACACACAGAAGACAACACAAGCTCAGCTTTGTGGGCCTGTCATCTCCCAGCCCTGCTGCAGTAGCTCTTGCTCATCCACTAACCTCATTTGGAAATAACAATTCAAAGTCCATCTTTCAGGTTGTTTTGGGGTGTGAGTTCAGGGCCAAATGGCTATTCTGCAACCTCTCCCTCCAGTCTCTGGTTATAACTTTCATTTTAAAAGAACACTCTTGGCCCAGTCAGTAGCATGGTGGTTAGGTGGCTCTAGTCCTGAACTTGGTAGCTTAAAAAACAACTGGGCACACGTGTGTGCATGCCCAAAATCCTGAAAGGAGAAGGGATTGTTGGGGGCGGGGGGGGGCATTCCCCTGGGAGGTGTTTTCTTTCTCTCTTTCTCTGGAAAGCACACACACCCTGTAACAAACTAACTAACTATACAAAATAAAGAAAATAATATTCTTTATTCAAATAATCAGTACAAATAAGCAATGCTTAGGACCAGCAGATAGCATAATGGTTATGTTGCTAGACTCCCACATGGCTGACTACAGTTCAAGTCCCAGACTCAGAGGCTTGAAACTCACGCTGGGCACACATGTGTGTGTGTGTCCAAACCCCAGGAGGAGAATGGAGAAGAAGAGATTGTGGTGTGGCCATCCCCCCGGTGGGTGATTTCTCACTTTCTGTCTCTCTGTCTCTCCAGCGAGTACACATGACTTACAGCAAAAATCTCTCTCTTTTCTTTTAAAGAATTATTTATTTAAATTTATTTATTCATTCATTTATTTTTCAGTTTGACCAGAGAGAGACACAGAGAGAAAGAGAGGGAAAGTGAGAAAGCAAGTCCCCGGGTTCGGAACTTGAACCGTGGTCAGCCATGTGGGAGGGTCCAGCACCTTAACCATCACATCACCTGCTGGCCCCCAGCAAAAATCTCTTTAAAAAAATAATAAAATAAGCAATTCTTGAAAAAAGAAAGATTAAAGAAAAAAAGCTACACAGTTTCATTGAATGCCTTCCAGAAGAATCTCTAAATGTTCACCGATTCCTCAAGGGCAGGTCTCCCCACCCCTCCAGAGGGCCTGGAACTTGTAGAAGGCTCTTCCAGTGTGATATGATGACTCCTTCCCCTGCCTCTGAGTGAGGTCTACCCAGGCCAGGACGGGTGGGAGAAACACAGACGTCCGAGAAAAAGTCACTTGCTGCTTCCTTTCTGGACATTTTGGCTGGGAGCAGTGACAGACCCTTCGGCCCTGCCTTCCCTGTGCCAGTGCCCGTGCGTGAACTGGTGGGGAGGAGCGTGCTGAGTCCTGTGGCCAGCAGTCCGAGGCCCAGTTCCCACTTGAGTGAGGACACCGGAAAGAGAGGCTAAGTGATCTGTCTAGTCTCTGGGACTGACAAAGCCGGATTTTTTTTTTTTTTTTCACTATAGGGCGCGTGCGCTCGCCAGACAGACAGAGAGAGACATAAAGACAGAAAGCGAGAAATCACCCCCCCAGGGGGGATGGTCACGCCGCAATCCCTTCTCCTCCATTCTCCTCTCGGGATCTTGGGCACGCACGCACACGCACCCAGCGCGAGTTTTAAGCCACCGGGTCCAGGACGCGAACCACGGTCGTACGTGGGAGTCCAGCGACATAGCCATTACACTAACTGCTGGTTCCCAAAGCCGGGTTTTTACCCAGGATTCTGCCACTTCCCAGATACCGGGCCCTTCCTGCCACAGTCCCCTGCCTGCCTGGCGTGTGGACGGGAGAGGAGATGGAGCAGGAGCCTGCTGGGCTGCCGGGGGGACAGAGCAGGGCACGTGTGGCCATGGCTGCCCAACCCCGCAGCCTGTGCTCACCCCTCTCTCTGCAGGAATGGGTGGGTGCGACCGGCAGGAAGGTCCAGAGGCGTCTGAGGGTCTATGTGGATTTTCTGGGCAGCAGACAGACAATGATACAAGTGCCTGCTCCCCACCTGGCACTGGGATGTCCTTGAACGTCAATATCGAGTCTTCTCCATTTTAAAGACTCAAGAGAACCCGGCCTTGGCCCAAACCTCCAGGCCCCCTGAGCCAAGTCCCTGTGGAAATTCACTAGAGTTTGTGTCCTGGAACCAGCAGATGGCATAATGGCTGTGTAGCTGGACTCCCATGTAGTCCACTGCGGTTCAAGTCCCAGACCCAGTGGCTTAAACTCACACTGGGCACATGTGCGTGCGTGCCCAAGGTCCCGAGAAGAGAATGGAGGAGAAGGGATTGCAGCGTGGCCATCCCCCCTGGGGGGTGATTTCTCGCTTTCTGTCTCTGTGTCTTTCTCTGTCTTTCTGGTGAGCACATGTGCCCTATAGCAAAAACCTCTCCAAAAAAAAGAAAGAAAGAAAGAAAGAAAGAAAGAAAGAAAGAAAGAAAGAAAGAAATTTGTAGTTTGTGTCCCTGTTCAATGCAGGTGTCCATGGGACATCCCCTCAACACCGAGCGATCAATGGGGTGTCAGATCAGTGGCCACTGTCACAAGATAGCTTTGGGGTGGTGCCAACCGCACTGACATTTTTTGGACAGAATGATTTAATTTTATTATTATTACTATTTTTTAATTTGCTGTAGGGCACATGCACTTACCAAAGAGAGCTAGAAAAAGAGAGATGGAAAATGAGAAAGCAAGCTGCTAGGTGTGGCACTCAAACTGCAGTTGTCCATGTGGGAATCCAGTGTCTTAGCCACCATGCCACCTGCTGGCCCCACACTGTCATCTTCACAATTATCACCATTGGACTCAATACTTCCGAGAGATCACACTGCAATTTTCACATGCTTTCACTTGCACTCTCTGAGTGCTCTCCCAACCACCCCACCACACGGGTGTTAGTACCCCTAGGCATCGGGCGGGGGAAACAGGTTTAGAGGGGTTACCCCACAGTAAGTCAGTGGCAAAGCTACAATTTGAACATAGGATCTTCAGTCTTTCTGTTATTCCTTAAGAGATTTTTGCCTTAGAGCACATGTGCTCACTGGAGAGACAGAGAGACAAATGGAAAGCAAGAAATCACCCCCCGGGGGGATGGCCACACCACAATCCCTTCTCAGTTCTCCTCTCAGGACTCTGGGCATGCACCCACATGCATCTGGTGTGAGTTTCTAGATGCTGGATCTGGGACTTGAACTGTAATTGGCCATGTGGGAGCCCAGTGCCTCAGTCATGAGGTCACCTGCTGGCCCGCAGAGTCTTCAGTCTTCACTGCTACACTGTACCGCCTCAGCAGAGGCCACACCGTTCCCAAAGCCGGTGCCGACCAGACACTGTTGAAATAGTCTGGTCTAGCGATGCAGAGGGTGTAATGGGTGTCAGCAAGTGGAACAGTACACAGCGTGGGCCACGCCGTCAGACCTGTGTTCAAACCTCAGCGGCTGTGAACTAGCTGAGTGACCTGGGCGAGTGACCATGTCATCTGAGCCGACCCCGTCTGTGAGGCGGTGCTGAGAGTACCCCGCAGGCGATGGGCGAGGACGGGCCGGAGTCGCCCCTTCCTGCTACCTCACTTGCTGTGCTACAACTGTGTTGCATGTTGAGTGTCACAAACATGATCTGGCCCCTGACTTCAGAGAGGGGGACACCCATGTGTAAAGGGGGGAATGAGCCAGAGGAGTCAAAACAGGGAGAAGTAATCCGGCCAAGGGAGGCTTTGCCCAAGCAGTGTGCCTGCTGGCTGGGGGGGGCCCCCGCCAGTGCCTGGGGGCTGCGGACTGCCCAGTGGCCAAGGACTTTCACACCCACTATCCAGCCAGCCCCCAGGTTAACTCTGGGAGCCGAGAAGGCCCTGTAGCAGTCCGTTTACCACTGGAGAAACTGAGGCAGACAAGGTTCAGCACCAGGTCACAGGCCAGCAGAGGCACCTGCCTGCCCCTTGACTGGCACCGTGCACCCTGCTCCTCTTCCATCTGAAACCACCTGCAGAGCACCAGCCCCCCTCCGGCTGGCTGCTCTTCTGGCCTCTGGCTGAAGAGAACGGGTCATTCCCGCCTGCCGGCCTCCCCGCTTACCTCGGAAGGGGAAGGTGCCCAGTTTGTGCAGATTCTCCTCCAGTTTCCCATAGTCCACCTCGGCCGTGGCAGTGAAGGGGGTGGTCACAGGGGGGTAGATGCCTGCAATGTCTACCTTCCTCCCTGGCCCTGAGGCCCAGCCCCGGACATTCCTGCACCAGCCCCTGCTCAGCCCCTGCCTCACAGAGGCCCAGACTTGGGGGCCCAGCATCTCCGCGGGAGGCCTGTGGCCCAGCTGGTCTGTGTCCCCGGAGTGAGGCTGTTTGGACTCCTCTCTAGCGCTCCTTAATGATTAACGTGTCTAGTTAAAAATTTGCACCCCCACCCCACACACACACACACACACACACACACACTCGTGGGCACTGGGAGAGGCCTGAGCTGGACGACCCAGGGTCTGGGCAAGGCCTCTAGGCCCTAGGGGGCATTTCTTCCCGCTGGGGAGCAGGCTGGGGAACTGCCACAAGGCAGTGTCCCTCTGGCCAGGAGAGCCGACTCCTGGGGTCCCAACAGTAACGACACTAACAGCGTCTCCAGCCTGGCCCTCCTCCCACAATTCCGTGGGCATGGGTAGGGCCAAGGCTGGAGAGCTGATTGGCTGAGCTGGCCCCGCCTGCTGGGGGCGTGGCACAAAGAGCAGCAGCAGCCAGTGCAGAGCTGTGTGCTCCGCTGCCCCAACCCCTGCCCGGCGCTCCAGCCAAGGCTGCCCCACGTGACAGGCCTGTGCTGGCCACACACAGCTCCACAGGACATTGGTCACCAGGAGGGGGTCCAGGATGAGTGCATCGCCAAGCCCATCCGTGCAGAGGCCAGGCTGGCCCTCAGGGTTTGAGAAGAGGCCGGAAAAACAGGATTAGCAGAAGTGAGCAAGAAGCAAGAGGCTGTAATCCCGACAGCCGAGGGCTGGCTCAGAGGGCCCCAGGCCCCACGTTTCCCTCTTCCCCAGGCCCACTGTCCTCCCCAGTCTTCCTTCTTTTCTAAATATTTCAGACATGACGGTGAACAGAAACAAACATCACAAATAGCAAAGATGACTTTTTTTATTGCAGTTTGTGGGGGCTCCTGGATCCTACAGAGGGATGGCTGGATCTTCAGTTAGCTCTGGGGCTGGTGGGGAGGGGCTGGGTGCCTGGCTGGGTTGGGGCCGGCGTTTACTGGGCTGGCACCGGCTGGGGGGTCTCTCTCCCACTCTCGGCAGACCCCTCCAACCCATTCTGCTCTGACCCCGGCTCAGGGTGCTCCAGGGCGTGCCGTGTGTCCGTCTGCCATAGCTGCACCAGATCCGTTGGAGTCTTCCCTGCCTGGGGGAACCAAGAGGAGATTCTTTCAGGAGTCTACACCACAAGACGCCCTTGTCTACACCAGCGGTTGTCAAGTGGGGCAACTGGCCATGTGTGAAGACAGTTTTGGTGGCCAGGACTGGGAGGGGGACAGCCAGGGTAGCTACTTAAATATCCTACAATGGACAGAGCAGCCCCCTATCCCCAAAGAGTTACCCAGCCCAAATGCCGGGAGAGCTGAGGCTGAGAAGCCCCCAGGTATGCCCGCTCTGTATCCTCCTGCTTCCTGCCTCTCCTCAGCCTTTCTTGAGCCAGAGGACCCTCCCATTTTCTCATGGCTCCGGGCCCTAACGCAGAGCTCGGGCTGGGGAACAGAAGTTCTAAGAAAACTCAGGGTCACCAGGAACCAAAGTGGTATGCCCGCACAGCCGCAGCAACCAAGGACTGGGTTCCTTTCAGCTTGGACTGCATGGCTTTGGCCTCTCTGGGCCTGCACTCGGGACCCCCATGGCCTGTGTGGCCCTGGGGAGTCCTCCAACTGCCCCCTCTGCTCACCCTCTGTGCCCGTTCCTGGTCCTGGACACCGGCTCACAGGGCCGGGGGTGGCAGTGGCTGGAGTGGTGTTCTGGATGTGGCCCACTTTTGCACGGGTAATGGGCCAGAACCATGGTCTGTCCTTGGGCCAGACGGCCCTCCCTGTGCGCGTGCTCCCACGGACCCCTGAGCCCCTGTGCCGGGAAGGAGTGAGCTCACCAGGTTCTTGGCCATCATGTCGGCCCCGTGCAGGAGCAGCAGCTTGATGATTCTGTAGCGGTTGAGCCTCACAGCATCGTGCAGGGCACTGTCCCCTTCCTAGGGCAGAGTGGCACTCAGCATGGCCCTCGTGGGCAGTGGTGGGGGGGGACCAGAGACCCTGCTCAGGAATCATGATCCTGAGGGATCCGGAGGGAAGGACCACACACCAGTGGGGGCCCGCGGTGGGGCTGACGGGGAGGCCAGCACTCACTCTGTCTCTGGCGTTGATGTCCATGCCCAGGGTTAGAAAGTGCTCCACAATCTCCACGTGCCCTGTTCGGACCGCCACATGCAGAGGGGTGCTCAGCAGCTGGGTGGGGATGAGCAGAGATGGCAGCTGGGGTGCTGGGACTATGGTGCCCCTGGGGCTAGGGCTGTCCTAACTCCATGCGAATCCCTCTTCCAAGTCCTAGTGCCAAGGCCTGAGCCCGGAGGGACAGGGAATGGCACAATTCCCCACCATTCACTGGTCTCACTCTGAAGCTTAGCTACCACCTCCTCTAGGAAGCCATCTATGATTTCCCTCTTGCCCAGCTCTGAGCAACTATTTACTTCTCCACTGTTTTTTTTTTTTTAAAAGGTTTTTGCTATAGGGCACGTGTGCTTGCCAGAAAGACAGAGAGAGACAGAGAGACAGAAAGCGAGAAATCACCCACCCCCCCAGAAATCCCGAATGGAGAAGAGATTGAAGTGTGGCCATCCCCCCAAGAGGGTATTTCTCTCTCTCACTCTCTCTCTTTCTCCCCTTATCTCTGTTGAGCACATGCATCCTACAGGAAAAAAAAAAGAAAAAAATTAAAGAATAAATTAAATAATACATGTGAAACGTGTAGCATAATGCCTGACACCTGGTAAGTACTCAGTAAGTGGTATCTGCTATTGTTACGTATGTTTCAGCGTCTGTACCATTTGTAGAGTCTTACCTAGGTGCCTTACTATTACTTCCAGTATTAATAAGGTTCCTACTCATTCCTTCAGTTGCTGCTTTTTGTGTCCCAGGCATCCTTCTAGGCTGCAGGCACAAGGAAGTAAGCCTTGGCCTCTCGTTTTCAAGGAACTCACAACCTGGGGATGCAGACACACTACCACGTATTCTGCCCCTTCTGCCCCATTCTTGGCTTTGTTTTCTGTAGTTTCATTTGTGCATAGTTAACTGTAGTCCAGAAATATTAAAGTGGAAAATTCCAGAAAGAAACAATAAGTTTTAAAGTGCTTGCTAGTCTTAGAAATATGAAATCCCATGCCATCTAGTTCTTTCCCACCCAGGACGTGAATCATCCCTTTGTCCAGTAAGTCTATATTGTCTATGCCACTCCACTGCTAGTTACTCAGAAGCTGTCTCAGTTGCCAGATAGTCTGTCATGGCATCACAGAACTTGTGTTCAGGAACCCCTATTTCACTTCATACTGGCCCAAAGTACAAGAGTGGTGATGCTAGCATATTATTAAAATTGTTCAGTTTTGGGGGCCAGCAGTTGACGTGGTGGTTAGGGATGCTGGACTCTTACATGGCCAACTGTGGTTTGGGTCCCGGACCTGGTGGCTTCCTTTCTCACTTTACTCCTCTCGCTCTCTCTCTCACTCTGTCCCTCTCTGGCTAAATTAAAATAAATAAATAAATAAATAAATAAATAAATAGTTAAATAAAACAATTTTAAAAATTCTATTTTATTATTAATTATGGTTTTATTTCTTTGCATTGCTAGTAACAGAAACACTTGAGTTTAAGTAACTTATAAAGAATAGAGGTGCTTTGTTGCTTTTGTTTTTTGTGGGTTTTTTTGAGAGATTTTTGCTATAGGGTATGTGTGCTTGCTGGAGAGACAGAGAAAACAGAGACAGAAAGCGAGAAATCACCCACCCCCCCAGGGGGGATGGCCACACCACAATCCCTTCTCCTCCAGTCTCCTCTTGGGATTTGAGCACGCAAGCACACACGCCCGGAGAGAGTTTAAGCCACCAGGTCCAGGACTCGAACCATGGTCGGCTACATGGGAGTTCAGCAACATAGCCATTACGCCAACTGCTGGTCCCCACATGCTCTCTCTCTTAATAAATGGAGTTTAGTATAATTATCAAAACAGTGGAGGGACCAGCAGTTGGCGTAATGGCTATGTCGCTGAACTCCCATGTAGTCCAACGAGGTTCAAGCTCCGGACCCGGTGGCTTAAATTCATGCCGGGCACGTGTGCGTGCGTGCCCAAGATCCTGAGAGGAGACTGGAGGAGAAGGGATTGTGGTGTGGCCATCCCCCCTGGGGGATGATTTCTAGCTTTCTGTTTCTCTGTCTCTGTCTTTCTGGTGAGCGCATACACCCTATAGCAAAAACCTCTCCAAAAAAAAAAGAAAAATAGAGAAAGAGCATGTGATGGGCATGGTAAAACCTTAGAAAACAGTAGCCTTGTGTTGAATAAATAATTCATTAACATACATTTTCCTGCCCTGCAAGACATTTTAAAGATGTCTTAGAGACTCAGTCATTTGTTCAAGGTTACACACGAAGGAATGAGTGAAAAGAAGGATGGTGGCTAAATAAATCAATAAATGGATGGGGCTGGCCTATAGCCTAGTGATTAAGGGAGCTGGATCCCACACAGCTGACTACAGTTCAAATCCTGGCCCCAGTGGCTTGCCAAACACACCGGGCATGTGTGCATGTGTACTTAAAATCCCAACAAAGTGGAAAAATGGAGGAGAAGGGATTGCAGTGTGACCAGGCTCCATTGGAGGGTGCGTTTTCTCCCCTTTCTCTGTCTCTCTCTGGTGACATATGTGACCTGTGGCAATTAAACAAATGGGTGCATAAATAAATGAATAGGTGAATTGACGAATGGACAGACAGACAGCTAGAAAATGATAAAGGATTGTATAGGTGAGCAACTCCTGCATCTTCCAAATGGCAACGAATCCCCTAAAATAGGGAGGTCCTGTCCTCCCCCCTCTGCTCTTCCTGCCGCCATCCCAGACGGTGATGGACAGGTGATGGACCTGCAGGTGATGGACAGGACCCATCCTTGGGCTGGAAGCTCACCAGGACTGCTTGGGCTCCCCTGCTTTGCAGCCACTCCAGGAACCAGGCTCGCCCACCACTCCCTCCTTCCTGGCCTTTCCTGCCCACTGCCCCCGCCGTCCTCCCCAGTCACCCCAATGTCTACCAACCTGAGCATTAACGCCTCACCTTGTCCCTCACATTGGTGTCTGCTCCTCGGCTTTGCAAGAGTTTCACCACCTCCAGGTGGCCCCCACGACAGGCCCAGTGCATAGCTGTGCAGTCCAGCTAGAAGGGAAGGAGGGCCTGACTGCAGAGTGGCAGCGAAGAAAGTGCCCCGGAGAAAAGCGCCAGCCAAGGGAGCAGGAGCTGCCGCTGGGAGAGGTGCGGGCAACACTCCAGCCCCTGAGCCCTGACCAGGCGGAGCAGGAGCATTCTCAGGTGCTCCCTGTCTTGTCTAAGCCAGATTTACAGACCAGGCTCAGGAAGGATGGGGCTTGCCAAGGCCACACACCCACTAGAGGAGGGCCTGGCCCCTGAGGAGCCTGTGTACCTGCTTGACACAGGCTGGTAGGTCGAGGTGGTCTATTGGTACTGGGCCCACCCCCTGCCTCCCACTCAATACCTGCTGCCTCGCTCACCCGATCCTGGAAGTCCACCGTGGCCCCACTCTCCAGAAGCTTCTCTAGGATCTCCAAGTGGCCCTCCAGAGAGGCTCGGTGCAGTGCTGTCCGGCGGAACTGTCCCCAGAGAGACTTTCAGGGCCTGGCCTGTGCCCTCAGGCCCAGAGCTCGTCGTCTCCCACCCAAGCCGAAACCCAGGCCTGATTCCAGCTCGATTCTGCCCCAGTGCGGGGCCCCCTCGTCTGCTGTGTTCGCCAGCTCCTGTGTGTGCCAGCCACCCAGCCTCAGAGACCTCTGCCTGGGGACTGTGACCTCGCAGCCCCCATGCCATCAAGCAGGCCTGATGCAGGCTGCGCCCTCTGAGGGCATGTGGGCTTCCGTCACTCCCTGTGGGTGCGTCACGTGGCTGGTTGCTCCTTCAGCTCAAGTGCCCTTGTCTCCATGAAGCCTGAAGGCCAGAGCCGCCCCAGGGCCCAAATGAGCCCTGACCGAGGGTGCGGGAGGGCAGGCCACGCCTCGCTGGACTGTTTCCCCTGAGTGCCCGGCACAGGACCAGCACGAGCAGGCTACGCTGCATTCTGCTGCAGGAGGGATGACCGCCTTCCATCTCAGGCCACCTCTGCTTCGGACTCTTCAAACCCTCGGGCCAAATGTGTCTTTCTTTATGACAGTGATCCAGCTCGGAGCCAGTCTGCCCCACCCTTAACCCTCGTGTTTCTGTTTTGTATACTCCAATACCCAGCACAGTCCTCAGAAGCAGGAGGTGCTTGGATAGACTGGGAGGGATTAAGACCCGGGAGTCGAAAGAAGAGAAAGGACAGGGGGCTGGCTGGTGGCCTGAAGATTAAGGTGGCTGGATTCCACATGGTTGACTGCAGTTCACGTCCTGGACCTGGTAGGCTTGGGAAGCGTGAGAGCACATGCGTGTGCTCACCAGAAATGGGGGCGCGTGAGAAATCACCCCCTCAGGGGGATGGCTACACTACAATCCCTTCCCCTCTCAAGATTTTGGCACACACACACACATGCCCAGCATGATTTTCAAGCTGCCAGGTTCAGGACTTGAACCGTGCAGCTGGTCACGTGGGATCCAGCACCTTAACCTCTGCATCACCTGCTGGCTCCAAAAGCAATGCTTCTAAGGAAGAACAATATTATACCATGAGCAACAAAAACACCCCATCCTAGCACGTGCCTTAAAGCTTTTTCATTCATTCAATGCATACTTATTCCACTTGGTTATCCTAACATGTGAGAGAAGTAGGCTTTTTTTGTTTGTTTTAATTTGCTAGAAGGTGTGTGCACTTGCTAAGAGAGACAGAAAGTGAGAAAGCACCCCCATGGGGTGGTCGTGTGGCAATCCCTTCTCCCTTCTCCTCTCAGGATTCTGTGCACACGTGAACGCACACTGTGCTGCATGTGTTCAGGCTGCCATGTCTGGGACTTGAACTGTGCAGTCAGTCATGTGGGATCCAGCTTCCTGATCACAATATGGCAGCTGGCCCCAAGTAGGCCACTTTTTTAAAAAAGTAGAATTATTTAGGGATTAGCAGTTGGCGTAATGGCTATGTTGCTGGGCTCCCATGTAGTCAACCGCGGTTCGAGTCCTGGACCCGGTGGCTTAAGCTCATGCTGGGCACATGTGCATGCGTGCCCAAGATCCTGAGAGGAGAATGGAGGAGAAGGGATTGCGGCATGGCCATTCCCCCTGGGGGGTGATTTCTGCCTCTCTATCTTTCTGGCAAACGCATGCATACTATAGCAAAAACCTCTCCAAAAAAAGAAAAAGTAGATTTATTTAATTTTATTTATTACTACTATTATTAATTTGCTATAGAACACAAGCACTCATGAGACAGAGAGGGAGTGGGGGATTAAGAAAGCAAGGCACTGGGTCTAGGACTCAAATCATGATCAGTCATGTGGGAGTCCAGCACCTTTTTTTTTTTTTTTTGGAGGGGTTTTTCCTATGGGGGGCATGGCCTTGCCAGAAAGACAGAGACAGACAGAGAGACAGAAAGCGAGAAATCACCCCCCAGGGGTGATGGTCACACTACGATCCCTTCTCCATTCTCTTCTCGGGATCTTGGGCACGCACGCACATGCGCCTGGCGTGAGTTTAAGCCACCGGGTCCAGGGCTCGAACAGCAGCCGGCTACATGGGAGTTCAGCAACGAAGCCATTACGCCAACTGCTGGTCCTGAGTCCAGCACCTTTATCACCATGTCACCTGCTGGTTCTCAAGTAGACCATTTTAAAGAGGAGGAAACAGGCTAGAGAGATGACTGGCCCAGCCACAGGTCCTAAAGCTACTGAGTGTTAGAGACGGGATTTGAGCCTAGGCCTCCTGATGGAGGATCTTCTGTTTCATTCCATCCTTCCCTCTTCCCTAAACAAACCAGACATTTGTTACTCTGGAGCTGGTTCCAGTAGGAAAGAGTCTAAGGAGGATTTGGGTAAATTCCTGTGGAGGTATCCTACTCCCAGACCCGCCCCTACCCCACCCACGCCTGTTGTCACAGAGGCCCACCCAGGCCAGCCAGGATCGCAGTGGGGCGGGCAGGGCATCACCTCGTCGCAGGTGTCGGCTGAGCCTCCATCGGCCAGGAACTTCTCGATGACCTTCATTTTCCCCTCCACCGCAGCTTTCAGGAAGGTCTCTTCATCCACAGGGCCGGTCTGCAAGGCGTGATTCCAGACATCGAGGGCCACCCGGGTCATCTGAGGCCCCCGGCGCCCTCCCACGCACTACGACACTTACGATCTCCTCGGGCTCCGGAGGGGGCTCCTGGGAGGCGGCCAGGGCTTCCCGCTTCTTCTGCTTGCGTTTTTTCCGCAGTTCGATGAGGTTCTGGATCCCGCCCACGTCGATGATCTCGCGCCGCAGGTCCAGGGACGTCTTGCGCACGCGTTCTTGGCCCTGCGTGGGGACAAGCCATCAACGCCCACCAGCACAGCTTTCGGGGTGTGGGGGTCCCTGGGCTGAGCTGGAAGTAGGGTGGGTGGATCCGGAGACCTCACGAGAAAGAATCAAGGTCCACGCGTCCTCGACCAGGCGGCAGACCAGCGGCAGGTCGGTGGGCCGGAGACCCCGCATTGCTAACAGCGCCCGGGGGTGCTGTGGGGACTGGCCATCGTCACTGGCCCTGAGTGCAGGCGGCGGGCTCTCCGCACTTACCTTCACCTTCTGGAGTGCCAGGTTCTGAGCCCCATGGTGCTTCTCGTCCTCCAGCACCAGCAGGTTCATGGGCAGCTTGGACTGTGCGGCTCCGCGGAGTTTCTGTAAGCCAAGGAGAGCGCTTTCTCCAGGACCTGGGGAGGCAGGCGACCTCTCCCCGCACCACACCAAGGGCACCCCACCGCGACCTTCTGTGTAGGCTCAGAGCCCTCTGCATGGTCCTCGAGGGCCCCAGGCAGGGCAGGGCTCCTGGAAACACCCCCAAAGGAGACAAATTCTGTGGTTTGCCCCCTATATCAACCCCAGCCCGGCTCAACACCT